TTTTCTTTCCCTAGCTTTGTCTCTCTGTCACAAATGCCCATAAGTGTACCCATCTTATTTATGTCAGGTTCTACACCTCTCTCTAATCATCACAGTTTTTTTCAATTCAAAACTATGATAAAGCCAGAGGAGAAAAGTAAGGATATCTTTGTTTCATGTGCAGACAGGTATATAAAACTTGAAAGGGTCACGAAAAGAAAAAAAAAAACGAAAAATGGAGGAATCCTACCAGCTCAAGGAGAACTTTAACTTACTTTTATCTGTATTAGCTCATCGAGTTCTTTCCTTAAGGTTTGGTACATCTCTGCTACAGCAGGTTTCAGGAAAAATTCCAAGTATCCTCCCAACATTTTCAAGTGGCCATCCTGTCAAAGTGTGGCATAAACCACTAAACAGTTGTTTGGAATGGGAAAAAAGGGGCCAAGAGATGCACATGCATTATTTTTACAACCAACAAATGATGGTAGGATAGGGAAATACTTACAGCATCTCCTCTCGAGATAAAACCACCAAAAAGGAGAAGGATAGAATCAGAAATAGCAGTAGAATCCCTTAGGAAGACAGAGTTCACTTTTATCTTCTCGTTGAAAATTAGCCACGGATACGGAATTTTTGACTCCCTAGCATTGGCTGAGTTCTAAGCAAATGAAGTAACATTAATTAACAAAACAAGATAGAAGCCATGATCACGCAAAACGCAAGCCATGAGTACAAGCAAGCAGCAGCAGCCACACAAAAATTTGGGTGCACATGCTCACCGAGTACAGAAGCACCTGCCCGTCCTCCATAGTTTTCAGTGAGAATGATCTCTCAGTGTGCTGCATATGAATGCATGTTAAGATAATTGTGAAAATAGAACAATGTAAAAGATAAAAGTTCAAATGGGAGGAAACAGCCAAATTATCTGTTCTAAGAGTTATACTGATGAATAAATACAACTTCCATAAATAGTCAAACCAGAAAGCTCGAAGGAATGAGACTCTGGCTGCAAAATAGTACCATAATTTGAGACATTCATGAAGATAAACCAGTATCAACAACCATTTCCATTATTTAGTTTTGCCAATTGTACAAAACAAATCCACTCTTATGGAGTTGTAAAGAGATCAAAGGATAATAATTTCCCGCTAGAAATTTTATGAGACTGGAGTATAATAAGGAACTCTGGATATATGAAACAAAAGACTCACCACGATGGAACAAATTCCAGGATACAGGCCATGGCAAATAACTGCTCTGATGAGATGTTCATCATGGGCAAATGCATTGCAGTTGCTTATGTTGCCATCAATAAGTCCAGTATCCTTAAGCAAAGAGAAGAACTCTTTCCGGAGAGAATCAATAGCTTTCATCGACTGTGCTGAAAGAAAATTTTTCCAGCAGTATTCATAACCAGCAAGGTCCCTCTCTGCATCTTTCCAGCCCTCATAGGCCCGGACAAGAGCAAGGTGGTCACTATGATCATGGGAGAATTGAGACTTTGCAGCCTCTGCCAGCTGGAAAAAATAAAAAAAAAAACATTAAACTCATTGTTTTCAGCATTCACTTGCGAGAAATTTTTTACAATGTTACTGCTCAATTACACCGTAATTTCACCAAGTCACCAAGCATAAATTGAGATAGTTGTAACTGTAAACCCTCATGTTTTTCCTCACAGGGAGGAGTGGTCCCAGAAAGAAGTTAAAAAACAAATGGCAACTCTAAAAGGAATTCAAGCTGTTTTAAATTTGGAGCAGATAATGTTGTTTGCTTCAGTACAGCCAAAAAAAGAAAATCTCATGGTAGTTGCAAAACAAAACACTATGCATATGCCTCACTTGAGCTAAAAGTTATTTCCGTACTTCTTTAGTGATAAACAAATAGAAGAAAGTTAATATATTAGATGTGCTTTATTACACTTTTAAAAGTGAATGGAAATGACTCCATCCGATCGATTACCAACACATGCAAATTCATACTTTATGTTAAGATTATTATTTTGAAACAAATCCATATGGAAAAAATTGAGTATATTTAGTTTCATATTTAAATGGAACAATAATGAACCCATCTGACCAATTACCAGCATGTCTGCCCATTGATAAGAGTAGGGAAGCAATGAAAGACAAAATGAAAGTACAAAAGATACTAGTAAGTCTCTACTTTGCTATGATATCAACCATGATACACAATTGGTGTTAAGAAGGGGCACGGACTTGCATCCTTTTTATCCAATTGGTGTTAAGAAAAGATCTCTAACATTAAGGCCAGCAACAATAGTTAATACTGGATCCAAACGATTGATAATGGCTCCTAATAAGAGCATTTTTGCAAGCTTGGGTTCCAGTGGAAGCATGGTTAAATAGCTACGTTTTACCAACATGTCTACCCATTGATAAGAGTAGGGAAGCAACAAAAAGAAAGTAAAAGGCAGACTAATAAGTCCCTTCTTTGCTATGATATTAACCATGATACGCAAGGGCATAAGAAAGGGGCAGACACTTACATCCTTTTTATCCAATGGTGTTAAGAAAGGATCTCTAACACTAAGGCCAGCAACAATGGTTAATACTGGATCCAAACAATTGAGAATGGCTCCTAATATAAGCATCTTCCCAAGCTTGGGTTCCATTGGAAGCATGGTTAGATAGCAACCTGCCAAGTTTGTTTAGCTCCCATGAAACAAATTTCTCAAGAAATTAAATTACTATGGAAAGCATTAAGATGAAAAACAAAAGACTGCAAGTCTCCACCTACCTAAAATAGTGAGATTTTCATTCTCGTCTAAGGCTCCAATAATTTTTAAGTATTCAATAGCATTTTGGACCTGTAAAAATAATCAACCAAACCCAAAAATTATGGAAGGGAAAATGATAAAAAATGCCTCGACAACTAAATGTTGTATCTTGTTAAGAAATCAGAAGGGTAAAGCTACTAAATATAACAGGTGAAAACTGCAACTAACGTCCTGAAGTTTCAACAAATGAGCCAATACCGCTAATAACTCGGGTGATTGCAATGCTCTAAACAAGAACTCAGAAATACTCCCAAGTTTTAGGCTTTTAATTTGCAGACAAAGAGACTGCAAAGGTGTTCTCAAAATTTCAGGTAATTGATGTTCTGCAAAAGCGCCATATACACATCTAGGATATAGATGATAACATTCTCCAGGTTGAACACGGCCAGCTCTACCTCTTCTCTGCAAATACATAAAGCAGATCAAACAAGTATATCAACTAATCTGGTAGTTGACTAATCAGCTCCTAGAATTTAAAAATCAATCTTAAATAGAAATTTACTAAATCAAGCCCGCAAAATGCCAAACTATCAGTGTTCACGGAGATCAAATGGCATTGAGGTTTTCCAAGCATGCACATTGTTATCATATTCTAGCAAGTAAAGTCGAACTATTTCCCGATGACATAAGCTTTTGGAATAACTGTTTTGATATCAAGTGTTCACCATAAATACTTGGTGACAATGAAATTTATTCTTTAAAGACTACACAACTTTGTCTAGTTCATCAACGATATATAATCATTACATTTTCTCTATCTTGATCCTCAAAATTAAGCAAAAATAGCCGCACCTGTTGAGCAGAAACCTTAGAAATCCATGATGGCAGCAAACAAGGAGTGTTATTGAGTGCATCGTAGGAGGTCTCTTTTGCCTTCCCACAGTCTATAACATAAACAACATCATTAATTGTGATGCTTGTCTCCGCAATATTAGTAGCAAGCACTATTTTCCTCACGCCATCTTCAGGCTCTTCAAATATCAATCTCTACAAGCACTCAAAATAATCCACTTTATAATTTGAGTAAAAAAAGCAGAAAAATCTAAATATCAGACTAGACAAAATTTCAAACTAAAGGATTGGAACTCGCTAATAGGGCTTTCCTCCCTTTTCCGAGGGAAGTGGTTATACATTAGGTAATCTGAACCTAAGAAATTTCCAGAAGTGAATTCAACTTCATTTTGTCTTTCAACATAAATAAACAATGAATGGATAATTTATTGGAAGGCAAACAGTTTTAGAATACATGTAAAGTACATGTAAGAAACAATAAAATTCAAAGTGATGATGTTAAAATGCTTGGTATTACCTGCTCTGAACTTGCCATGGTACCATGACAGGCAAGCAACAAAACATGGGCTGGATCCCCCAAAACAGGATGTGCCAAGAGCTTCTCCTTTAAAGAACTTATGTCATCCCAGCCAGTCATAAAAACTAGAACAGCACCAGGTCTTTCATTCTCACATATATGAGAGAGAAGAAATTCTATGAGATTAAAACCAATACAATCAGGATTCCAACATGACAAAGACTCCCGAGTCTGGGGGCTATATTCCTTGAAATCAGCTGCTCTAAGTGCATCCTGGTTCCAAGTTTTTCAAAAGAAAATAAGTAAATATGCATGCAGCTTGGAAAATATAGATAATTGTTCATACCACCACAACAGATGCAATTTGGCTCTTTCTCTTCCTTGGTGCTTGTTTGCTCGTCTTCCACATCTTTTCTTGACCATAATCATCAATTTGATTGTAAGGAGTCAATCTATAGCCCGTTCTCTCCAAAATATTCTCCAGAAAATGAGTCCGAACTGGGTATGTAAAACCCTAAATTAGACCAAAAAGTCAAATGACAAACTGAGCCACTGCACCAAAATATTTAATCCAGAAAGTTTAGTATTAAATTCTACTAAATTAACCAAAACTAAAGGAGAAACTGATAATGTATACACTATTGGAATTTCTTGAATGCTGAACTAAACAAGCTTCACTCACTATTCCGAAAGGCCATTTTAGAAGCCTTATACAAAATGTATCCCATTTAATAGAAGATGATAAACTGGAGAGAACCCATTGAAGCATTAACGCGAATGGCAAATTCTAGGTTGAAAACATCAACCAAAAGCTTCAAGAAAAGATGAAATCAGTAGCCTTTTCTAGGTTGAATAAATGTTTTTTAGAAGAAAAAAGAAGTATCATTAAGAAACACCAATGGATTCCATGCATGTATAACTGATTTAAAAAAACTTAAAAACCAAAATGTCTATCAGGTTCCCAGATCCTCTCTGTTAAGAATGGGCACTCTGTCAACAAAACGCTTAGGGTATGGTACCAATAACCTCTAATTCTATCAAATCAAGAGAAAATACCCTAAAAAATTATTGTTTCTTTCTTTCCAAATGACTCACAGATAAGAGAATCAGTTGAAGAGCTTTTCCCTAGATTTACAAGCTTTGGAGCCCAATCATGCAAACAATTCCTGCCCAACTGAACAAAACACCAACAGAGTCAAGAGAAGGCCAGAGCTAAATCCCACAGCTCTTCTAGCCCTCAAGCACCATCTAAAAGTTCAATCTATATGCCCATAAATATGCCTTGGAAAAACGGTAGATGCTGATCTGACATCCTTCATAAGTGAGGCGACTACAATCTAAATATCACACAATCAGGCAGATCCCAGATTTCAACCTAATATATGAAATTCTAAAGGAAGTCTTTCCTTCTTTCCAGCTGATCACTAAGTAATCAGTTATTCAATGTATGACAGGCTGAATGAAGAAACATTAGTGAACAAAGTGCAACATGATAGCACAAAGAAATAAATGCAAAAGCAACTGATTCCATTAAAGCAGAAATGTCTGGAGTACTGGGGTCTGAAATTTCAAAGTGGAGAAGCATAGCGCAAAGACTAGCAAGATGAGGCCTTTGTAAACATTAGTACAAATATAAGTGCAAAAATGGAATAGAAACCAGCAAAAATGATGGCTAAAGTAAAGCAAGTAATGATGCAGATGATTAATGAATTGCTTAATTACGGATATCTGTGCAAATACGAGAAGTTATTGAACCAAAATTCATAAAATGAAAATATGATAATATGAGGTCAAGCAATAATCATAGATGATGTTAGCTCCCAAGAAGCATCAATCTCAGCAGGCCTCATGATATGAGAACATCGAGTTAGTTTGGATGAAAGGAAACAGTTACTGTGTCTAAAGAAAATTATGGAAATATCAGAACTAAGAACCTCCTCCTCGTTCCTAACCCCCACCAAAAAAAAAGAAGATAAAAATCACTGTACTACCAAGCTTTTCTAGTTCCTCACTCACCGGAATGCGAATTATAGGAGCCCCATCAAAATAAGATGAGAAAAGCTCAGCATCTAAAGTAGCACTCATCAGAATCAGCCGTAACTCTGGGCGACGAGGAAGAAGATCTTTAAGGATGATAAGTAGAAAATCTGGCATCAAATGATTATGACAGTGAGTAATCACATAATTAACATGACAACTAAGTCTTCAACCAAGCAACATTTTACCTTCATTCATTCCACGTTCATGAATTTCATCCACAATCACATGGGTAACACCTTTCAAATCTCTATCGACAAGCAATCTTCTTAACAAAATGCCTGTGGTGCAGAAGAGAAGGCGAGTATCCCTGCCTCTCATACCTTCCAGCCGTACTTTGTATCCCACCTGCAAATCAATAAGCCAAGAGAGAAATTTTATTGCTAGGAAAAGTTCAGCAGTTTTTTTTTTTTGGAATAAAAGGTAGGGAAAAGTTTGCAGTTAAACACAATGTTTCAGAAAAGCTGTTGCTACAAATTCTATCCGAGAAACTCACAGATTCACCCAATTTCTCCCCTCTCTCATAAGCAACTCTTTCAGAAACAGACATGGCAGATATTCGCCTTGGCTGTGTACATATAATACTACAAGCAGCTCCAGAAGCCATATCAATCTGAGATTCTAAAATAAATTGGGGAATTTGTGTTGTCTTGCCACAGCCAGTTTCACCTGAGACAATAACAACCTGCATAGTACCACATTGTACTCGTTATGAAACATTCATGTATAAACTAAAAAGCATCCATAATTTAATCCCTTGCAATTAAAACTTAAACAACATTACTTCTTCAGTAGTATTAGTTAACACCTAGGGAGACATTTTCATTAGAATAATCAAATAGTTCGGCTAGGGAGGAGATAAAGAGAATATGCAAACTGGAAATGGTCAATTAAATAGGGCAAAGTGCTGATATCTATTCCATACTAACCAATAAAGAGTTTTAAATAGTGGAAAATATAAAGAGGACAAAAGAAATTAGAAAAGCAAGTTCCACAATCAACATAAAATTCCAAAACCCAAAACTTAAGTGTACTTAACAATGGGAGATCAAGTGGCAGCACTAAATTCTAGTCTGTTGGGTAAGGAGGTGTGAAATCATTATTTCATTTTGCTTTACAAAAGAAATACATGTGAATACAACATATAATACAAAACAGCACCCAAGCTCAAGCATATGTGCTTAAAAGAACATAAAGAAATCAAGCTCTCTTTGTAGTTAATATTTGACATCCTCTATGACACCAAGTCTCGTTTCAGGAAAATAGAGCAACAAAATGTCAAAGTGGATCTACAGCCCTGTTTAACATTACAGTGATGTTCTGTAAGATGCACTCTGCAGAAAGAGTCTTCCTCATTTGAGAATAAGAAAACAACTAAAAAGAAAAAATAATAATTCTTGAAACATTGATGCACCTGATTCTGTGAAATGGCTGTCAATATTGCATCCTTCTCCTTATAAGCAGGAAGAGTTCTACGAAATTCCAGCATTCTGCTACCTTCCGGAGATTCCTGTTGCAAGAAAAAAATACCAACTCAAGAGAGCCCTTTATCACTGTGTACCAAATAAAAAATGTATACAATTAGACAAGACTATTAAACATTTCCATAGGCTATTGTTTCTCTTTTTCTTTCCTTGCTGGAGCAAACGGTGGGAAGTGCAACATGACATAGCTCTCTCTGGATGAGACCACGAAAGCCCCCACCTATTGAAGCTGAGAGTTCTAGGTAAATCAAATTTTTGGGCTTGGAGCCTTCCTTATTGGTCTGAATATTGAACCTATCCTTAAATTTGGACACTTCAGAACTATTTGCCTTGACCTCATCCAAAGATCATAATAATGACCGAAGAAAGTGTAAAAGGTGAACCGTCTCAAAATAGACAGAATAAGGATTAGTATAAAAGTTTATGAAGAACTTGAGAATAAGGAAAAACTTCTCTTTTCTTCTCACACTCTTCTATTTTATTCATCGATAATCAGCAACATTTTATAGATAAAGGAAGGAAGAAAAAAGACAAAAGCTAACAAACTTCCCTAGTGGAAGGGAAAAAACAGCATAACCTGGCAGTAACCATTTTGTGATATTGCCAGGTTGTAAAAAACAGGAGAAAGGAAAAAATACAGAAAAATAATTCTACAGTTTAAACTCATGGAAATGCTCCAAAATGAAAAAACAAAATTAGTATATTCTAATACTCCTTTTCACATGCAAGCTCGGTAACACTTGACTTGTTCACTGAACTGTAAAGCAAGAAGCCAAAGAACAGCTAACAGGATTTGTACAAAGGTCAAACTGTGGACAAGGTCGAATGAAGCCCTTCATGAAAAGGTGGTGAGATTCCTATGATATGAATACTAGATCTCATGTCAATACAATGTTAAAAGAGTTGTTACCGATTATCTTAAAAACCTTTTTGTCGCAAGGGAAAGAAAAAATGTCAGAAACATGCACCGGAGAAGTGCTACCCATGTACAAAAGGCATTTAAATATCCCAAAAAATCAAGTAGGATGGAGGAGGAAGTGTGGTTGTCAGCTGAAGATCTAGCACGAAAGGAATCCTTAAAGCTTGAACTAGCTAGCAGAATCCATATGGAGGAGATATCTTGGAGACAGAAATTAAGCCCTTTTAATGGGTGCAACTATAATATTATATGTATTCTAAAAAAGCCAATCAACTAACAAGAAGTGCCTAGACTATCTATATTGTCATATTAAGTAATTTTCTTCAGCTCCTCATCCCTCCAAAATCCCCTATTTCCTTTTTATCTCCAACACACAATCTCCCAGCATTTTGTCCACATTCTACTAGATGCTAAGTTATGATCCCAAACTCTTTTAAAGGGGCTACAATTAACTTTACATGCCTTAACAAGTATCATATCCATTTTAAGACACTGCCAAAGATACCCCTGTTTTCAATAAGAAGCCAAGTAGGGTAATATGAAATTTGGGACAGACCAAGATGGATATATAGAAATTAACAGAGTCCTAAAGAAAGGAAATGAATCAAGAAAATTGGAAATGAACTTGAGCTGGAAAATTATCAGGAGGAAAAAACCTGCCAAGACTTTTGCTGATCAAGTAGTTGAGAACTTCGCCTCCGGAAGATTTTCTCCATTACAGTCTTAGTGGCTGCAAGTGGCTCTGGTTGCTCGAAAAGCCCTTCATCAGTAGCAATACTACCACTGCTGCTTGATCTTGAAAAGGAATCTTCAGGGCACTTATCTTTAGTCCTTGATTTTTGAGAAAGATATTCCCCAAGATAGGCATCAACTCTTTTAAGCAGATAGGTGTTTAAGTTGACCTGTCAATCTCAAAACCATAAATACTTTTGTTGAAAACTATAAAATGAGGGGAAAAAGAGACAGCTGGAGGAAGTTTCAGGTAAAAACAGTAGAAAAGGTGTACACTTTGTCAGTGAACAAAAATGGCATTTCTGCAGTACGCAAAAATTTTTATTTAGGGAAGAAATAGAAAAAGGCAGTTTAAGTCAATAGAATGACAATAATACCTCTCTCTGAGGACGCTTGTCATCCAAATCAAACCTATAGTTTGGCAGTGGGAGCTTACTGAAGACAACAACCTTAGCATATGCATGGCTGCCAAATATACTCCTTGATAAGAATCCACTTTCAAATTAACAGAATCAAGACATGGATTTTCATACAGAATAAGATACCTGTGCAACCCCATTCTGCTTGCTAAAGCTGCTATTTGCTCAAAATCCCTTCTATCTTTCTTCTCCCGAGAGACCAACTCTTGCCTTCCCCCATCAAGTAAAAGCATGGCTAACTTCTGTTTCCACTCATCAATATTAGCACAAGGGGAAGTACCCTGCAAGACCAATGTTATAACAGTGAAAAACAAAAAAAAAAAGGAAAGAAGAAAGGAAAAGATACTAGTAATGCCAATATGGTCAATTGTATCATAAGCAACAAGGAGTACACAGGCAATATGAAATTAACTCGGATATTATAGACAGATATATACCATGTCTGGAACGAATAAATTCCCAAAAGAATGTGACTAGTACTCGCATTTATGTTTAAATATTTCACTACGATCATCTGAATGATATCATACGGATAGAGAGTGCATTTCAAC